ATGCGTTATTTGTGCCAATAAAAAAGGATATTTTTTGTTTTTTTCCTTTTTTGGTTTGTATCACCGGCGCAAATAAGACTTTCAACAATCTTTAGGTGCATATTTCCACATAAACTATACTCAAAAATTATGCTAAACTTTCAAAACTCAGCGGCAAATCGATAATTAAACCACGTTCTACTAATCTAAACCAAATTACGTTACATGACTATGAACGACGGGATTAGCATCTTGGTTGCCATCTTTGTGATTGTATGCGTATTCCGATGGCTTTTAGGTACAAATGCTCTTTTCAACTCTTTAATTTTAACAATAAATATTTTAAACGACTAAAAAGCGATTTTTAGGATCCACACCACAGCATACAAGGAATCGTAGAGGAAATATTATGACGAATGACCCACCCAGGACTAGGCCAAGACCTGTAACTCCTGAAATGGTTTGCTAATTTTTCGTGATCAAACTACTATTTTTTGTCATTCTAGCTCTTTATTTAAGTCTTGGTATTGTTTTACAGGTCGCTACAGTATGTGCGATGTTTCCAAACATTCCTCCAGTCGCAGTACAATACGATCTTCAAAAGACAGGCTCTGTTGAAGTTACCTGTGACAATATTCTTCAACATGGTGGTCTCCCATTGGTAACTTTAATTCCAAAAAAAAAGAACTAATCATTTTGTGTATTGAAATTAAACCTATACTTACATTTTCAATTATTCATATAACACAAAAGCCACCACCTACTGTTACTTCATCATTTGCAGTTCCTTCGACGTCTCACGCCTCCTCATCGACAACGAGTGGGATAAATGTATCTGTAACACATCAATCTCTCGTGGATAGATACAAACTACAAGATGCAGTTAAAAAGGGCATTGTTCCACCAGATCCACCTAAAACATGGGAAGCTACTCCCGAAAAAAGGCAAGAATTACTGCAAAAGAAGAAAGATGCAATGATTTTACAAGCTAGAGAGTATGCATATATTTTATTCTTTATTCAATAGTTAATTTGAATCGGTTGAGATAACAAATACTTATGAGTTATACGGAATCTTATACGAAATGGCAACGTTTATTCATCCTGTTTCAAATTTAATCTTTTCGCAGGCGATACCTTCAAAAACAGCCAAAAAAACAAAAAGAAACTCAAACCAAAGTAAAAAATTATTTCGATGATTCTTCTTCTTTATTCACATTATCAACACATCATCCATTGACTCATAATTCTCAAACTAATCTAAATAATGACGAGCAAAATCTTTAATTAAAGAAAAACGAAAAACATCAGCAAAATATTACAAGGAATAAAGATGTAAAATAATAACGTATATAATTGAAATAGTATTTAGTTTGAAAGCTGTTCTAGATTAATCATTAAACTAAAAAAGAAACTGGTTTTTTTTTTCACAAATAATTAGAGGAAAATTTGATTAAAATTATTAATAAATTTATAAGGACGGATTTTTTTATTTTTATGCTAATAAACTTGCATAAAGGTCTTATCTACGTAGCAACTGGTTCCCATTACACATGATCCAGGTTGCAAGAATTGGTGAGGTTAAAACCAGTTAAGAAATTGGCTTAGTTCGAAATTATCACGTTAGTTACAACTTGTAATCACATTATACATGTCTGTGTACCCTACTACCACTATGGCTTATTTTATAATCTGCATCATTGTCATGCAGAAATACAAGCTTAGAGTTTTCTTGCAACTGATAGCTCAATTTTTTTAGACGTTCTGCCACTCTTTTATTAAAACACAGACACGATATGGATTACTTCGTAAATTTAAGAAATAAGATAAAAAAGATATCACCTAATAGAGCGCAACCTACTGATGCCGAGCAATTGGCAAAGTTTCGTGAATCATGGAACTATATCGAAGTGAGTTGTTCGAGTTATTTTGGTGTTGATTTGTTCAAAACCGCATGACAGACTTCTGTCAGGTCACAAGGCGAAATGTTAACTAGTGGCTATTATCATAAATAGTCACAATTTAATAACGAGGAAAAAAAAAAACAGCTTCCCGATGACGTGAAACAGTCCGACATTCCATTTCATCTCAAAGAAATGGTGAATATTCTTGTTGACGAAGGTTTGCGACTCGAGGACGTGAATACAGGTCTCTGCAGAGAAGAATTTTTGAAAAGCAAAATTCTCCAAAAATTGGTTAACCTTGCTACTGACGATGTTCCAAAAGGAATTTGTGGCGAAATTATCCGGACTATTGGTTCTATGATTAATTTATTAGATGATCGGTTTTTAGTTCATAATGCCGTTCATCAACCGACTGTCTCCCTTATGATTAATTTATTGGATGATCGGTTCTTAGTTCATAATACCGTTCATCAGCCGAATGTTTCTCTTTTGCAAGAAAAATATGAAAAATATGATGAAGATCTTGTTGATTTAATGTATATCATATGTTCCAAAATTCATGAGTTTCCCGAACTTTTGAATATTTTCTTCCATGATACTCATTGGCTTACGACACCACAAAAAGCTTATCCAAAAAAAGAATCAGAAAATACCGCAAGCTTCTCATCAAATAGTAGTCAAGATGGGAATTTAGACGATGGCTCCGCATCTGCAAATAGCACAATGAATTCAACCTCTGCAAAAACAACAGAGTTCACTAAAGAACCAGAAAAACGAGAATACAAATTTTTACTATTTTCATATCTGCTTCATTTTCTTCATAGAGAAGGCAAAAGCGGTGAATATGCTAGATATGGCTTGCTTTTTATTATTGAGCTCAAAGATGAGCAATTAGGTGAATTTATTCTTGAAAGTGACTTTGCAACGATCATGGCTGCCGGATTGGGCGCGCTATATTCACAATTACCACGTAAATTGATGGTAAAAAGTTCGAGTGGTGGGTTGACTAATGCCACTTTATTAGGATTCGGTGGTGATAATACAAGTGCTGAGTTAGAGAGACTGGCTTCAAATGGAATTGAAGTTTCTTCTTCGAAGGCATTCAAAATTCAACTTGATTCATTTTTGAAGTTACTGGAATTTTGTCAGGATGTATTAAATATATGTCCAAATGTGGATATATCTTTGGCCTTACTTCAAAATGTTAAAAATATTTTTCTTGAAAATATTTTATATCCGTCGATTTTGGAATGTTCTGATACGGATGGTTCTGCCGTTGCTGTTATTTCTTATATTGACATTATCATGCAGACATTGGAGCAAGAAGAATTGGTTGACGTGGTGGTAGGTTTTTTAATGGATTCTGACGGTGATGATGAAGACTTTTGGAAACAACCGATTGCCAATAAAATTGCAAAACGTCAAAGTACAATAAATCTGTTCGAGGGTATTGATTCTAATACGATCAAGTCTCCTCCCTATTTCACAGCAATCGGTCGGTTTACTCTCAAGGATTTAATATTTTCACGTTTGCGATCCTCATCTCAACAAACCGTCATTGCGACTTTAAAACTTCTTCATACTGTTATTTCTAAGCATTGTCGATATTCTTTGAAATTATTGAACATAGAATTGGACGAAAATGCTACATGCTTTCCTAGACCAAATTATTTATACGAGGATTCATATTGTAGTGAGACGCATGGATCAAGCTTTGCTCAACCAAAATTAACAACAATTAGTCATCATTTGAAAGAACTTGACCACTTCTTTTCCTTAATAGCTGCCATTGATCCAACTCCTCAAAACATGGAAATTTTTACGAATGGATATGATTCCTATGTCCGTGATGCAGAAATGATTATAGAGGCGGATCCGTGTTATATCAATGGCCTGGACGTAGAATGGACTGAAGATGGTCCCACTAGACCAAATTCAAAGAAATCTGGTAGACAACGATTCTTGACTTATAGCCAAGGCAAAAATGGCAAAAAGGGGGCATCCAAAGGCATGTCGGCAGTTCCGAAGCATCGTCTTAACCCGACTGATCGATTAAATCCGGGTGATTCGCTCTTACAAATTCTCCTTGGGACTTTAACAAATTTCTTTGCTCATTCACCAGAGTTAAACTTAGTTCTAACCGGTGTTCTTTCCGCTCTGGCTGTTTGTCCTTATAGATCGCTAGAAGGTTGGCTTGTATTTAGCGGTACTGATAGATTAGATAGTCGGCGAGATGTCCGACGAGATTCTCACATAAGAGACTTTGAAAGTTTACAGCCTGGTGCAAAAAATCTAGAAATACCTCTCGGAATATCTAATAATGAAAATAACGCTGTTGCTGAAGGAGATGACAAACCTATTAACGAATTTGATGAAGATGATGATCGTTCAATTGATTTTGACGCAGACAGATGTCCATCTGCTACAAAGGCTATCGGGGCTACTCCGAGATGGACTAGTTACCCTCAATTTTTCACTATCTTTAAAACATTGACTCAACAAGTCGATTACTACCGCAGCGAAATTGAAGGGTTTGATCAATATCTTAAAGAAAGGAGGGGTGGCCTGTTAGATGCTGATGATGAAATTGATGAAAATTTCTTTAAGCAGCCTTATCCCTCACGTACACCTACTAGAAGAAGTAGTACTTCTAATCATTCAGGCTCTGGCATCTCGACTAATACTAATGCAAAAAATAGAAAAATGACAGGACATAAAACACCAAAAAGAGCTGAATCAAACACCAATTTAAATTCGCAGATCGGTTCCTTAACTTTCAGGTCTTCGACTATTACATCTTCGAACATTACCACTCCATTTTCAACGCACTTCCAAAAAACAGAAGCCATCAAAATCCATCCTCTATTCCCAGCACACTTTGTCAATGAAGATGAGGAAGACGATCAAGTTGACCCACTTGATGAAGATGATGAAGATAGTTCTTCATCTAAAAAATCAACTAAGACCAGGCAGAAGGAAACTAAACCTAAAGAGATCACTTTAAGTACACTCCTCAACAATGTTGTTATTCTAGAGGAAGCTATTAAAGAATTGGTCGCTATTGTACAAGTAAGGAGAAGTCTAGGCATTGACGAAGTTAGATACTTGTAAAACACTTTCGCATATATTATCATAAAGTTACTATTTATAAGCAATTTTGGACTTGCTTGGGTCATTATGTATATAGGGTTTTTTTCATCATATAAGGGAATCTATATTTGTGATTGATCTATAATGAATTTAGTTTTATAATAAACAATAAATATACTAACAAACAGGGTTTTTTATTTTAATACGTATACTGTATTATTTAAATGTAAATATATAGTTAATAATTACTTTGTCACGCGATCTTTATAACGATAATCTAATTCTTTGGTTCCAGTGATTTTCTGAATTTGACTTTTGTGTTACTAAATAATTTTATTTTTACAAAACGTGAACGTTAAAGTTCGGGAGCAAGTATTTTATTAACTATCGTAGGTGAGCACCACAGAAAATCACTACCTCTTATTTCAAAAAAAAAAAAAAAAAATGCATATATTGATATCTATCATAGTATCGTTAGCACTAGCATTCCATGGTTTACATAAAAAATCACTAACGAAGTCTGGCGCACTATGTGCTTTATTAGTAGGTTTTATCACTTTGTCAAATTATTGGTCTACGTTTACAGTGGTATTGCTCGTATTTTATTTTACTGGATCTAGGTTAACTAAGGTAAGCTACTGTGTAGAGATTGGAATCGGTTTAGTCGACTAAAAAATCTGTATAATAAACTACTATTAGGTTGGTTTTTATAGGCATAGTAGTTTCAATACGTTTAGAGCGGGTTAATATCCGGTTAGTTCAAATAGCATTGTTTCCCTTAGAGATGTAATATTTTAGTCATTAGGAGGTAGAGCCTGTAACGATAGTGAATAGTGAATAGGTTTTCATGTTTAGTCGACTAATTAGTCGATTAAACCGATTCCAATCCCTACTACTGTGGATTTACTGCCTTATTTTTTCTAACTGATTTTGTATATATATATATGTATATACATGCCTTAGTATAAAGCGGAAAGAAAAAAACAACTCGAGGAAGATTATCAGGATGGTGTGTGAAACTTCTAAACAAAATTTGTTAAATTGTGTCGGATTCATGAATTTCGAAGAAAAACATTCACATAATGCGAATTTTATTTTTTATTACATGTAGGTGGTCAAAGGACTGCTATGCAAGTTGCATGTAACGCTCTTACGGGAACAATTATTTGCTTAATTCATCAACATTACTATGGTGGACAATTAAAATGCTTACTAGATGATCGTGGGTCAAGACTGTTATTTTGGATGTATATTGGGTAAAGTTTACTTTTTTCTAGCTCTACATTGTAAATTGCTTATAGCTCATAACCTTAATATCCATCATGTCGATAGACATTATTCGACTTGTAATGGAGATACGGTAAAAAATCTCTATTTTTTTCTCAGAATTTCAGGACTATCCCGCATAATTCTACGGGTCAATGCTTCAATGAATTGTCGCCCTAAATATTTTTCGTATCACGAAATTTAGGGTCTTTGCTATGAAATAACCCTTAGAATTAGCATAATGCCTGTAGGTTATTTTATAACAAAAAAAACTCTAAACATTATATAAAATATTCAAGAAGACATTCTCCAGTACACTGACCCGCAAAATTATGGATAAGTGACCCTGCAACCACATTTAACTATATCAACCTTTAATACAAGTTAATAATAAATATTTGATGTATATTGTAGTGGGCCAGCGAACTTGGGATTCTTAATAAAAGCTGGCCATTTTTAATAACTACACTTAAAAAGGTACGTGCATATTTTGAATTCCATTATTTAATAGCTCATTTAATCAGGAAATTTTTTTTTTTTTAGGTTCCCCCAGGAACAAATGGAGGTGTATCTCCGTTAGGTTTATTCGCTTCGGTTTTGGGTGGTTTTGTTATTGGCATATCTGCAATGATATCCATTTATTTTGCGGACGGATGTAATCGACTATATATTGAATTGATTCCGATGGCTTCAATAGCAGGATTAATTGGATCGATTATAGATTCAATATTGGGTGCTACTGTCCAAGTTTCTATGTATTCGGAAAAATCGTGTAAGGTTACTTATAGCAGAACTGAAGAAACAAAGTTAGTGAGTGGATACGATTTATTGGATAATAATCAGGTAGAGGCTTTTTTTTTTTTTTTTTTTTTTTTTTTTTTTTTTGAACTTCCTTCAATAACCGAGTATTCTAATTAATAATAGGTTAATTTTGTATCTTCTTTGGTAACTTCCTTATTAACTGGATTTGTCGTCGACTATATTATCAGATGATTTTATTTTATTTATTTTTATGCGTGTTATTTGATTCAAAAACATTATTGGACCACTTGACACATCTTTACTGTCACAAGACATTTGGCTTTTACTTCATTTAATGCAGGATTTATTAATTGATTCTGATAATTTTTTGTTTAATATTGACTATCTAAAATAATACATATAAAGTGTTTGAGTAAACAAAACTTGAAAAAGCCTAATAATATTTAACAGTTTTAAATTGCTGTTAGTGTAAAATATGGTATTTTTACTAATTAAATATATATCTTTAAACTGTTTATTTTAAATCTAATACATGTTTGTTTTTTGCTTTTATTTTTATTTTTTTTTGCAATATAGATCTATAGTAGCATAATATTTCGGTTTTTTGTAAGTTTTTTAAGCATTTTTGTATAAATCCCGGGTTTTTTAGTTAGTTCATACAATAACATTTAAAAATAAAATAAAAATAAAATAAAGTAAAAAATAAAAAAATAAATAAAAAATATAAACATAAAAAAAATAATAAATAAATTAAATTAAATTAAAAAAAAATTTGGATTTTAAGTTTAGTAAATTTTTATATACAAAATTAATAGTTTAATAGATAATAAATATTGTAATTTATTTATTTTTTATTTTAGCGATTGTTTTTTTTATTTAATGGTCGCAGATCATAATTTAAAATGAAATCTATATTTTCTACTCAATCTGTTGACCTTCTAAAACCCACAAATACTTGTTTATTATAACTTTACTTTAAAACTAACCCTAACCCTAACCCCTAGCCCTAAAAAATGCACCCCAAAAAATTTTATTTTTCGAGATTTTATATTATAATTTCATTTTGATCTGGATTTCATTA